TGAAAAAGAAATCAAAGTAACTCTATTCAACGGAGGATTAAGAGCCGTTAACCTTTTGGGGAATCGACGGTTGATGCCAAAGAACTCATCTAGACAGCAGCATAGCAGCTTCGGCAGATTCTTTTGTACGGAGGATGTTTCCGTCGCCGTGCGGTCGATGCGAAATGCGGAGATGGAGCCGTATATCTCGAACCTCGACTTCAATCAAACGGGCAATTCGGGTACAGACCCAGCACACACACGGCTGGCGGAGGATTGGGCTTGGCCGGTCCGCTTGTCATCATCACGGTTTGGCAGCCGCGGAGGGGGAGGGACGGTCGTTAGGGGTTGAAGTGGGTTCGTGGCGGAGAATGGAACTTTGTCTCTCTTGCGACTCATGTTAGGATGTATTTGCGTATTTCTTGACAAGTCGGCGCGTTTCGAGGGCAGGAGTGGATAGAGTGAGTTGAGTTTGTGCGAGTTGAGAGTTAACATTTGATTTTGAAAAGTGTGTTGACCGCACGGTGTGCGTTGCAGCAGACTGTTTCTTAGATTCTTCGTTTGGAATTCGGAACGGCCAAACGGCTTTCTTTTTTTAGGGTGCGTTGCTTCAAAAAAAACATATATTGGATTATTGAAATTCGAAGATTATTAGAATCGAAATATATTTGGTAGTTAGAATAACGGATAGATATATTATTATTAATATTTTGTTTTCTGAGGAATAAATTGATGAGTATTGTTATGCCCGGGAAAATAAAGGGCTGACGTGGGAAAGTCACGTTAAGGGTGACCTGCTCCCGTCAGGGCAACACGCACACGTCAGACCTGCAAAGTAATATGGAGCTCACACGCGTCCATTCTTCTGCAGCAAGTCGTGCGAAGTCAGCTTGGAAAAAGGAAAATGGGACGTAAAGCCGGATTATATCCTGACAATCACACCAACCCACAGATTTAATGATGATTACACGCTTCAATTGGATATAAAATGAAGAAGACCCCTCCATTAGAGGGATTCGGCCATTTTTTACATAGAATCACTCTCTCTCTCTTGTAAAAAGGCACTTACTTTTCATAACTCTTATGTACGTCAGTCTGCTTCGCGACCTGACCCACACTAATATCAATACAAATCAATGGACGTAGGATTTGCTACCTTAGCATTCGAACCACTTTAAAAGTCTTCTTCGCATTTATTTCACTCTATATTTCCATTATCACGTGTGTTAATTCATCAAATAATAATACCCGCGTGACAATTGGTTGGTGCCGAAAACGAGCATCAACAAGTATGTTATTTAAATTACTAAATTATCATTTTTTAAATATTAATTTTTGAATAATTTTTTTGACATATAATAGTTCAAATTTAGCTAAAACAATCCCGCTTATATAAAACTTTAATTTATAACAAAATCACCCCTACCACCTTGCCACCGCCGGAAGTCACATGGAGTCGTTGTGAGTAGCCCACCGTAATCAGAAGGCTCCGATATGGTTGTTTCTGGCCATATTGATGGTCGAAAATAGTCATATCAAACTAAATCTAGCCGAAAATGGCCATATCTATTCAAGCCATTTCCGGCCAAATCCATGGCCTTTATTGACGACATCTAGGTGAGATATGGCCGTTAACGGCCAAATCTATTCTAGCCCATGGCCGTTAACGACCATAACTCACCTAGATCTGGCTGATAATTGCTATGAATCTGGCCGTTAACAGTTAGATCTAGTTTGATATGGTCGTTTTCGGCCATCAATATGGCCAGAAACGGCCATATCGGAGCCTTCCAGCAACTCTCAGTTATTTTTAGCTACTCCGATGGCGGTCGACAGTGGTTGGCCCGCTGTCAACGGTGGTGGCTGGGTGGCGGTGGTGGTTTATAATTTATTTTAAATATAAGGGCATTATTGTTCAAAAACTTAGTTAAACAAAGGTAAAATTGTAATTGTGGATTCATGTAAATTGATTTTAAAACAAGGACATTATTGTCCAAAATTTTTATTAATAAGGGATAGAATTGTAACAAAAATAAGATTACATTGGTAATTTTACAATACCTAGGAAAATAGAGATAATCAGATTACGTCTAATATTATCAACAATAACTATTATTGGTATTGGAAGATTACTAAAATTTTATATTACTTGATAACCAAACGTGATAATCAAAGTAATATTATCAAGTAATACAAGATGACATAACCCCAGTAATTTGATATACCCCCCAACCAAACTCCCCCTTAAGTATAGTAGTAAGTTTGTTACACGGAATCAATGCCCCTGTTTGTATTAAGTAAGTCTTTTTGGTAAATTATTTCAAATATGAAATTTTGAATATGATATGATTAAAACAAATAAAGTAGGATTTTGAGAATATTTTTGGTATAATATATAAAAATTATATCAGAATTGGATAAAAATGTAAATAGTTGTTTGGTAAATTTTTTGAAAACATTTAAACTATTTGTAACCCCCAATATTTGTTAATTTAACTAAACATCCCCCCACAAAAAAAGTTTATAAATTAATAAAAACATCCTCATCCGGCACCCACCTAACCGACTGCCAGTAGCCGGTAACCATCGCTGGACGATGGCCGGAAGTCGTCAGAATGGCGTACGTCCGATTGGATCTGGCTAGTCGTGTGCCAATCTGGCCATTAACAACTAGATTTATGGCCAGATCTCTAGTCGTAGATCTAACTGTTTCTGACTAGATCCACGGTAGATCTAGTTGGAAAATGCCAGATCGACGCACAATCGGTCAAATTCGGCCGATCGTGCGTTCAACAACAAGCGGTGACTACTGGTGGCCGACAGTGGCTTGAGTAGGTGGAGGTGCTTTTGTTATTTTATAAACGTTTATTGTGAAATGTAATTGTTAAATGTTTTGAGTTGAATATAATAGAATAATAGAAAACGAATATGATTGGATTTTGAATTGGATTCCGTCAATATTAAAAGTTAAAACAAACATGTTTTTTACTGTTTATTTTAAATAGGATAATGGAATAGAGTTTTAACAAGTTAAAATCTCTTTAATCAATTACAATATTTAAGGAATTATTCACTATTTATGAATTAAAATTTAACATATTTAAATTCAATATTTTTTATATTATCGTTTTTAATGTTAAATATTACTCTTTGATGTCATCTTGTTATTAAAATTTTTATGATTTTCTAATTCTCATCATCATTTTATATTGTAATTATCTGACACACAATTATCTTATGGGTGCTATATATTAGACATATGTTAAAGATATTTTTGTGGAAAAATATATGTATTTACTAACAATTATACAATTCAGGTTACTAGTTCGAGTTAATTACACAGATCTCCCCGAGGTTTCAGTCTTCTCTGAAGGCATAAAAAATAACATCAGGTTAACACAAAAGTTAAAATACCCCAGTCCTTTAACTTCCGTTAGGATTAATTATTTTCATTACACTCCCACTAACATAAAAAACGGACAAGTTATCCCGCATAATTATTCACTTATATCATTTGTGTTAAAGTTAATTGAGGGAAGGATATAATAGACTTTTTATGTTATTATATTGAATATTTCACAATAATGAAAAATGTTTAGAAAATGTTTTTTTAAATATATATTTAAGATTTAATATTTTTTTTAAAAAAAAAAAGAGGTTAGGCGATCAGAGATTTTCGGGACCATCATTCTTAGATTGTCGGAATCGAAGATCTTTTTTTTTTTAAAAATCATTATTGAATTTTCAATAAAAAAGATATATTTTTAGAAGTATACTTAAAAAAAAAAAATTCCAATTTTTATATTTTTTTTCTTTGCAAAATATTTTTATTTTCAACTTTGCCCTTCTCTCAATTAATTTGACACCAAAACTTGATGGTAGGCTATAGGAGGTATAAGAGGCTAATTATAGGGGGTAAGTTGTCAATTTTTAATATTAAAAGGTGTGTAATACACAACCCTAACAAAACCTTAGTAGAAGTTAAGATAGCAAACCAACCACCATTAGATGACATGGTTGCAAAAGAGCCAAAAAGGTTTGATGAACTCTTGAGTTCAAGTTCCCTCAAGCTCTAATAGAGGTAGCCACTAGGACTCTTAACCATTCGATAGTTTCAAACCTCAGGAGATTAGTTGAGACATGAGCAAACTAGTCTGAACACAATAATAATAAAAATAAAAAAGTATGATGTTTGTGTTAACCTAATGATTTTTCTGAGCGCCACTAAAATGTTGAAACTTCATGAGAGGTCTATTTAAATTTAATTAACTCCTATTATTGCAAACTTCTAACCAACCTTTGAAAATTTTAACATGATCGCAATTTAAAATTACATGTTTATTATATGTGCATGAAAACATAAAAACTGTGTATAATATTATTAATCTTTTACTTGATATTATAATTAAAGTTACCTTACTTTTAAATGTATATATACAAACTTTAAATGTGCAGAATGATCTATTAGTGTGAATTGATGTCTATTTGAACTGTGATTTCGAAGAACCAGTAAACGACTGCATAAAACCCTTGGCTTGCTGGCGCAGTGGCAGTGCCGCTCCCCAAACTTCCTTCAAACTTCATCTCTTATCCCAAATCTCAAACAAAACTTCGGTAATTCCTCCCTTCTTTTGTTTTCTTCTGCCTCGACTTCATCTGAACAGTCTCATCTTTACTTATTAATTATTAATTATTTGTATTATTCTTATAAGACTACAGTATATCATTTCCACTGATGTTCATGTGCTCCAACCGTATTTCTTACTTCTTCCTACTCATAAATGTCTAAGTAGGCGCTGAAAACGAAATCCCCAAATCAGCATTGCAGCTTCACTGTAGATTCAATGGCGGCCTCTGTGTCACCAATAACCTTAGCGTTGTCTATCAAAAAACCCCATGTCAAAACCTCATCAAAAAATCTTCTTTTTTATCCCCTCATCACTGGTAACAACACTCAAGGATTCCTCAAGTCGAAGCCTTTATTCACATTTCAAAACTCTCGCTCTCGCCACTTGGGTCATTTTGTTTCATCATTTGTTCGCACGGGAGCTTCTTCGTCAGATGGGTTTCTTGATATTACAACTCAAGACAAAAAGATTTTGCCTTTCTCTGAGGAAAAGCCCGGGAAACATCTCTTATGGGTACTCTTCTGGGCTTCTTTATCTCTTGTTTGGTTCGCTACATCTGGTGATGCTAATGCAAGTAGTGCTGCTGCTGACTCCATTAGAGCTTCTGGTTTTGGCCTCAAGATCGCTACTGCTTTAAGGAGCTCTGGCTGGCCCGATGAGGCTGTGGTGTTTGCTCTCGCTACGCTTCCTGTAATTGAGCTTCGTGGCGCTATTCCTGTTGGTTACTGGATGCAACTCCACCCTCTGTTGCTAACTTTGTTATCTGTTCTTGGGTTAGTTTTATTTTTTTTCTCTTTAATTGATTAATTCCCATTTTTTAGCTATTTTTCTTCAATTTATCAAAGAACCGTAGAATTTTAGGATTTAATCATTGTGCTAAGTAGATTGATGAATCTGATGATATGAGCATGTCATTGTTGTAACAAATTATGATAAATTTATATAGTCCCGTTTGTCTTAAATTCCTTTGATTGACACTACAGAAAGCAACATTTCATTTTTTTTTCTTTTTAATCCTAGTTTAACAGTGTGTTGATTGTTTTGTCATATTTCGAGTTTTTTGTATGATTATTGGCGTAGAAGTAAATAATAGTTGAAACTAGCATCAACTTGAACCTGATAAATTTTGGTGCTTTAACTGTAGGAACATGGTCCCTGTGCCATTTATTATACTTTACCTGAAGAGGTTTGCGTCATTCCTAGCTGGGAACAACGGGTCTGCATCTCGGTTCCTTGATTTGCTATTTAAGAGGGCCAAGGAGAAGGCTGGTCCAGTGGAAGAGTTTCAGTGGCTTGGGCTTATGCTTTTTGTGGCTGTGCCATTCCCTGGAACAGGAGCATGGACAGGAGCCTTCATCGCTTCCATTCTTGACATGCCATTCTGGTCGGGCCTGTCAGCAAATTTTGTTGGTGTTGTGCTGGCCGGGCTTCTGGTGAACTTGTTGGTGAACCTTGGTCTCAAGTATGCCATTGTTACAGGTATCATTCTCTTCATTATATCCACTTTCATGTGGACTATCCTTCGAAAAATTAAGAAGTCTTTGAGCTCATCAGATTGATGTTAAATTCGCTATAGAATATTTTTTTTTTCAACCATGATTGAAATGACAATCTCTTTTTAAAATTTTTTAATGGCTACTTAGCTGTAGTTGGTAGGAATTTATCTCCATTATCTGCTATTTGATTCTGTCTACACTGCTCTTCATAACTATATACATGGTCTATGCATCCATCTGGATGATTTTTTGCTGCAAGAAAAAGAGACAGAGATGTACAAAATGAAAAATTTCTTTTGGATAAGGCACTGTGGTGTGTCAGGGTTATGAAAGAGGATTAGCTTGTAATAATTCCTTAAAAAAATGGGGAGAAATATCATGAAGATGATATTTATATAATACAATTAGCTGAGTTTTGTTTCCTGGAAATTTGAAGTTTTTATTTAGAAGATGAAGATCGAAGTAGGCGTCATGTAGTTTTGCGCAGACACAATTATGCTTCCTGCAAAGAACCAACTGATATCTTATTGCATCTTTGTGATAACTTGTGCCTATCCTTTAGGTCTAGCTTGCCATTCCCTCCTTTTATCGCTTTTATACATGTGAAGGCAAACTATCCAAAGAGCCTTGGTGGCACCCCTAACTGAGGTTGTATTTAGTTGTCTATGCAATTAACAGCGCCTGGGCCAAGTGCATGTAACGGTGGGAATTTGGATAGTGTTAAATGAGTAAGAATGATTATCTCTGTTGCTTTCCAAATAATCGATCAGCCTCTTCCATTGGTTCATTGAAGAATCTAGATTTTTCAAAACTGGAGAAGAAATCCCATCCCCAGAACCCTGATATTTTATACCTCAGCATAACTCTTGATGGCTTAGTTTCAGTGCTCTTGGATTTTTTGACATTAAAAAGTCGGTTTCTGTTCTGGAATTCGGGCATTGTTGCTTTTGTTCTAGTGATTACAGGGCACATATTAGGAGTTTTTGTTCTGTCAAATGACTGCCTATGTAAGCACATTTATAAGCTTGTTTTCCTTGTACTGGTTGAGGGACTCGACGGGACCAAATTATTTGGAAACAGCATGACAGGTTGAAACTACATTGTTGACACTTGACATGGAATGGGAAAGTGTAGGGACCTCCCGGACTCAGAATTAGGAGTCAGAAGGTCAGATATTAACTATATTTAATTAGCTTCACCTGATAGCGTCTCTGGGCTCCTTTTCATGGGGAAATTTCTGCAAAAGTATTTAGTTCAATGGAAAAATGGTTTGAATTCATGAATTAAATAAAGCAACAATCATGGTATTTACATCATTGCTTGTGGTGAAGGGGTTTCCTGAGTCGAGTCCTGACTGCTGAATGTACTACCATCTTTCATATTATTATCAAAATTAAAATTAAACACAGATTATAACAGTAATAGTGAGATTGGTATAATAATGGGAAATATCAACCTTTTGTATCACTTCCTCGAATAGTGTAAGACATTGTTCAAGATTTGGAATTTTTTGTTGTTATCTATTTCCATGTATATTGTCACTTAGAATAGAATATTCAGAAATTATAAAAATAAAACAAAATTTGCTGTTGAGCTCGTGGAAGATTAAAATTGTTACCATTTATTCACTTATACTTTATGTTTGGGCTATAAAGATATGAGTTTTAATTTAATTTTTGAAATTGTAAATTTTAATTTGATTATTTGATTACTGCAAACAAAAAGTTAAGAATAAAATAATTTACTTAAAATAGGAGAAAAATGACAGGAATTAAATAATATTTTCGTATAATAAAAATCAACCTAACACAATCAAGTAAAACCCAAATAAGAGTCAGGCTTAAGGGAGCTAACAATCGGTCCAGAATGTAAAGAATGGGCCAGACCATGGCCATTGACGGTGCATGTCCTGGAAGCCCAATAAAAGGGTAGAAGGCCCAAAGTCTATATGATATGAACAAGTGACACGACACGCGTAAATATAAGCACTCTAATAAAGAATAATACTAAATCAATAACCATCTCTCACAAACTTTCTTTCACAACTTTGACGTGGCAGTTCGCAATTGGTCAGTTCACAATAGGTCTCATATATTAATTACGAGTTGACTAATTACAAGATACCACGTCAGAATTGTGTGAGAGGATTGTTGATGTGGTATTACTCCTCTAATAAATTAAAACCTACAAAGACCATGCAATGCTTCTACTAAAAGTCTTCTTCCATTAACCAAATTCTTAGGATAAACATGTTTTCCTTCGTAACCACCATTCCAATAAGGAATAAGATGTCGCCGCTAACTTGGCATGAACTCTAAATAGCCTATACCAATTCTCTAACGTGAGTGATAAGCTCATAATTCATATACAATGACTCTTGATTTTCAATTATTTATGTTTCATTATCTAAAAAGCCTATGGGTATAAATTAAGAGAAACACAACCTTTAAGTATTCACAAACTTAGTGTCTACAAACCTACACTGATTTGCCAAGAAAAAAAGGGAAAACATTCTTTCCATCTCTTTCCTTTTCTAAAGTTAATGGTTTCTTTTAGACGTATTACTTAGGAAATTTTGAATTCGATTCATTTCAACCCCTAATAGAGGTGGGCACTAGAGGTTTATCATGTCGTTAACTTTAGAATCTCAGATGATTAGTTATTAGTTGAGGTATTTGTAAACTGACTCGGACACCCTCGGTAAAAAAAAAAAAAAAAAAAGTTTAATGGCTTGTGTATCCACTAGAGACCCAACTCATTAAGAGAATTGTAGACTAAGTTGACCGTTAGAAAGGAGATGTCAACAACGACCTTTGGTAGCCTTTTCTTGACGCTTAATATTTTGTAAGCCTTCCCAATCTCTGTACGTTTAAGGTTTCCCTCCAGCAAAGCCCAAGCCCACTCCAGTGAGTTGAAAGTGTTGGGCATTGGTGTTAACTAAGGTGCGAATGTTTTAGCAAACTTTGAAACCATATTTTGTCTAATTTTGACCATCTTTCGTATAATTACCAAAACTATAATCTATCTTCAATTGAAGTAAGGAACTAGTGATGGCAATGGGCCGGGCCGGGATCGGGTACCCCTTGGCCCAGGCCCAAGCCCGACCTCATGACACAGGCCCAAGCCTAGCCCGAGCCCGCTACGGGTATGATAGGCAAAGCCCAAGCCCTGTCTGACGGGTTTTTTATAACCGTAGGCCCGGCCCAAGCCCGCCTTTTTTAATAATATTTATTTTTAAATATTAATAAATTTCAATTTTTTTTTATATTTTTAATTTTAGAAAAAGCTTTTAAATATTAATTGAAGCTATTTCCGCAAATAATTTAAGCAATAAGTGAGCAATTAAAACTCCATAATATTTGATTATACTAACTTTTCAACTGTACATAATATGTTACGGTAAAATTCATTTTTATAAGTTAAACCAAACACATCTAACTCATTTAAAGGCAATTTTAACATGTTAAACCTTCAATATAGGATGAAAATTGAGGTTAGGGTTTGGGAAAAAAGGATATATATATATATGTGTGTGTGTGTGTAGGATAATATTGTAATTAAATATATAGTATAAGGGTAAATTAGTAAAATTAATACTAAAATTTTGGGATGGGATGGGTCGGGCCGAGCCTAAAGATATATCCATGCCCGGCCCGTACCCGAGGTCGGGCCTTAAAATCAAGCCCAGGCCCAAGCCCAAGCCCGCCAACCTCGGGTAAAGCCCGTCCCTTTCGGGCCGGACCGGGCCAGATACCCGAAAATGTTGGGCCCATTGCCATCTCTATAAGGAACATGTTGGAGCAGTATAGTAATCCACACGCACGAAGTGAATGAAGGCTAAGATTTGGTCTTCCATTAAATTGGTACATGAATGATAGGCATAGGCCCCGCTCCAATCCCCATTCATACAAAAACAAAAACTAATCCAACGTCTACATGAACATGAACATATGACAAACTGACGTGAAGTGCACGTGGGCAGTGGTACCCACAGAAAGCAACCGTACACGTGTGATATCATTTGACAGACAGACGTGTGCTGTCACTCTTAATCTCCCCCTCTTCACCCCGGCCCCCCCTTGGGCCTTCAACAAATGAACATCACCACCTCAGTCTCCCATTCTTATCTCCACTCTGACTCAAATCACTGATGCTGACACTTATCTTTGCCATCCACTCTCTGCCACGTTGCACCCCTTATCTCCACTCATCATGTCCCCCAACGTCTCGATGCTTGATTTGGACTTTTCCCAATCTCAACCCTACACGTGCCTCTCTTCTGTTGTAGCTTTCATCAATTCCGTTCTGATCGTCGGCATGGAAAAATGTCAATCTCTTTAATTACTATAAATTGTTAGACTAAACTAGTATTTCCACCCGACATTTGGCAAAATCCGAGTTAACATCTCTAGTTTCATTTATTTTAACCGTTACAAGGGTAAAATTGACATTTTCTTTTCTTCTCTCCCCATTTCTTCCTCATCTCCGCCTCCTCCCATCTTCTTTTTCCCTCCAACACCTTCAACCAGTGCCATTCGAACCAGCGTCAATAAGCGGCTTTGAATTGGGCTTTTTTGTTGTTTTTTTTGTGAAATCTATGTAACTGTGGTTTTGTTTAATTGAGTTTTCAAAGAATTTACCTCTTTGAAATTGAGAGACGGTGTTACGTGGATTGTACTGGGGAGGAGTTGAAGGATTTTGGGTTTGCGTGGGTTGTGCTGGGGAGGAGTTGAATGGCGTTTGATGTTTGGTTTGGTGGAGTGGATTTGTTTGTTTGGGAATTTTGGAGTTGATTGGTTGATTTTCGAAGTCTTGGGTTTGTCGTCTAGCGGTGGTGGTTAGGTGATGGTAATTTAGGGAAGAGTTCTTACCGTGATTGGTTAAGAAAATTGGCTGGGAGGCAGTCAAAAGGTCGACAACAGTGAAGAAGGGAAGGGGAGATGAAGTAGAAGGTCTAAGGACAGTTTGGTAAAAGAATCCACTGTCTTGTGTCAGAACCCATCTGTTACTAACGGCGTCATTTAAGGGTAGGAATCCGTAATTTATAAAACAAGAGGTACCAATCATTTCACTATACCTTGGGTCGGACTATCGTTTACTTTTAAATTATTATCAGCTTTCTTCTTAAACAATAATATCTATTATATATAAGTATTTTCAGATCACCCTTTTCTTATATGGCCATAAGGAGAGATTTCGCTTATCAGTTTCACTTTCAGTGATGTCAGTCAGGCTATTTTTATATTTATCTATTCATTTTCTTTGCATCTTGAAGACTTGATTGATGCTGATAACTGTTCTAGCTCTTTAACCCCCCTTCTACAAATGAACATTAGATTTCTGCAGCACAAACTTTATACAAAAATAAAATAATAAAAAAGAAAAAAAAAAAAAAAAAACCATGTGGGCATGATTTTATTGACTTTGACACCAGAAGTTTCAAATGGGGATGGACATTTCTTGTCTCATCACTCTTAATATATTATATTTGCAATACCAACAGCCGTCCTTCATCAATCCCTAAACAAATTAGGTTAAGGTTCACTTCTTCAGACTCCAAACAAGACTTTGAGATATGGAAGCCACAGTTAGTACCTTCTTGTGATATAAAAAGGAATCAAATTGACCTGCATTTCTTCACGTGAATTTCCATTTCCAACTAACCTGTAGGATACAGTAAACCCATCAATGGAATTACCCTTTTTCTTAATGTCTATACCCTGATGCAATGCATATTCAATTAAGTAATAAAATACTCTAAAAGAAGACATTTTTTTAAAAGGGTTTTGTTCTATGAGCAAATTCACTTCCATCAGCAAGATATTCTGTTGCAGGCTCGATCTTCTTCAACAAACAAACAAGGGTTTTGATTTTTTTTTTTTTTTTTTTTAACATTCATAAGAACAAGAAAATGTCAACATCTGAATAGGTCATCCGGTGCTAAAAAGTCTCTGCCTATCGAAAAATTATATTGAAGACGAACCATTCCGGAATCTTGACTTACAACAACATACCTTCTCTTTTTCCAACTTTTCATTGTTTAAATTCAAACCCATTGGTTACGCTATTATAAAAAAGAAGCAGCAACTTTTGGATTACTTCATTAACTAATATTAATTAACTTCTTTTCAAT